CCCCTCCCCCCCCACACACACACTTATTTCGTCTTCGCTAAGCTCGATTGGGTTTTCAGTAACAGGAATAAGACATACAAAGCCTGATGCTAGCCTAACTTTTTTTTGTTGAAATATGAAAAATTTGCAGGTGTTGAACGACGTCGTATATATGATGTGGTTAATATACTCGAGAGCATTGGTGTAAGAATTCGATGTTTTTTTATCTATGCTGTCTGGTCGATTTTGAGCTGTGATTTAGGTTTTGGTGTTGTTTCGTTTTTACGCAGCTTGTAGCGAGAAGAGGGAAGAATCAGTACTCGTGGAGAGGTTTTGGACAAGTTCCTCTTGTCCTAAGCCAATTAAAAGTACCTAACGAATCTATCTATATGCTTCTTCTTCTTTTTTTTTTTTTCTCTGCTTACCTTCAGCACTGAATGGTTTTGGTTTTGGTTTCTGTCTCTTTTTGTTTTTCAGGAAGAAGGAATGCGAGAGAAGTTTGGTATTATCCCATGTGTGACTAACTCAGAGATGGTTAGTTCATATTCAGATTCTCTCTTTACTGTTTGAATCTTTTGCTTTGTTTACCTTTGAATTTCAAGCTTATCCAATTCGATTTTGAGTAGGTGTTATACGATCAAGTAAGAGAAGAGCCTTTGAAGTTAAGTCCTGATGATCAAGAAAACTCGCCATCCCCCAAACTTGGTAATGCTCATATTCTTTTAACATTCGTTAATCAAGGAATGGATATTTTTCTGTGCATTTCAATCTAGAAACTGATAGCAGTCAAAATAAGTCCTTGGTAATGATTTTGCATAAGCATTCTCTATTCAGTAAAATTTTACAGGATAAGATTTTTGTTGGTGCTAACAGCTTGAAGCTAACTAGCCTACCATTTTCTCTTTCCAGACAGCAAGAAGGAGAAATCTCTATGGGTTCTTGCACAGAACTTTGTGAAGCTTTTTCTATGCTCTGATGTAAGTGAATATGTAATATTACATCTCTGTGAACATGTTTGACCATCTCTGAAATATCTCTCTTTTTGCTTCTATCATGTAAGGATGATCTGATCTCACTTGATGGCGCTACCAAAGCCTTGTTGAATGTATCTCAGGATCCGATGAATATGAGAAGTATCTAATTCATTCCTTTAAAATCTTTTCTTATCACGGATTGTCTCATACAGAAGCAATAACTCAAACCCATCTCCGTAAACTCTGCAGCTAAAGTTAGACGCCTATATGACATCGCAAACGTGTTCTCCTCGATGAATTTAATCGAAAAGGTACAGATACTATAGGATCTTGTTCTTAAGCCAATGCAATAGGTTGGTTCTTGGTTATTCATCTCTCATCATCTTGTTTTTGTTTTCATACAGACTCATATCCCAGAGACTAAGAAACCGGCATATAGGTGGTTGGGAGCCAAAGCCATATCAGAAGGCAGATTCCTTTCTGCTCCTGCAAGCCTATGTGATAGCATTGAGCCTAAAAAGCGGGTATTCGGGACTGAGATCACAAACTTTACCACAAAGAGAGCCAAAACTGATTGTTCTAAAGACCGCAAGCACTACGAAAGTGAAAACACATGCAGTGTAATCAAGCAAGAACAATGTGATTCCAAATCAGCCATGAAGAGCCTTGTTGGACCATTATCTCCCGCCGATACTTCCAAGAAGAGCAATGCAGGAAAAAGCAATAACCAGAGTATTGATGTTCTTGAGACCCTTTCTTCTAGCAACAGACTACAATACTGCAATCATGGTAAACTAACAAAACAACCTTCTTCTCCATTTGTACTTAGACAGTTCTGCTTCCCTTCGTTTCTATTGGGGTTTATTACAAGCCAAAGTTTTCTTTCATGAACAGAGTTAATTGGTCTTCTTGGGCACTACACAGAGACATGGAGGTCATGGCATGCTGAGTTTAGTCGGAAATGACTTCACCAGGTAGACTTTTCTTGCAGCGTTATCTGATGGATGCCAAAATTGCTGCTGTTTTCTTTGTTTGCCTACAAGAGAGAAGAGAACATTACTCACAGATCACAGAGCCTTTGTTTTGTTATCCTTTGTACAAGATAAAAAACATTTAAAAGTTTTGTAGCGCTTCTTATCGTTCTAAATCTAAACCATTAGTGTAATATGAATGCTCAAATTCAAAACGTTCAACCGGATTTCCAGAAAGAAAGACATTTCTAAGCTAAAACAAAATTTGAAAAAGAAATTCAAACTATAATCGATAAATTTATTTTTGTAGTTTCGTATTGTTCGATTTTATTAAAGTTTTGTTGTGGTGTAGACTGTATATAAATAAACCTACAGTCTAAATAAAACACTCAGATAATAAACTCGGTGGACCAAATAAAACCATAATTATCAAAAATTAAATGAAAATAACATGTATAGTAACTAATAAAAACGAAAAAGATTCTTCCATAGCCAACCAACCAAACGCATATCACGCAGCCACACACATCGTGAGAGAGAGAGAGCTCGAGACGCTAACTTAATGGCGGCCACGTCAGCTCGAGCCTTCACCATCCTCTCTCGCGTAACTGACCTTTCACGGAAGAAGCTAATCCTCCACCAACCGCCACCGTCTTCCCCTCGCCGGTTTCCTAACCGCGCCGTCTCTTCCGCCGTCATCAGCTGTCTGAGCGGCGGCGGAGTCTCCTCCGACGACTCGTACGTTTCCACTCGCCGGTCGAAGCTGGACCGAGGCTTCGCCGTGATCGCGAATCTCGTGAACCGGATCCAGCCGCTGGATACGTCCGTAATCTCCAAATCGTTATCCGATTCGGCTAAGGACTCGATGAAGGAGACGATTTCGTCTATGCTCGGACTCCTCCCTTCCGATCAGTTCTCCGTTTCCGTTACCATCTCGGAGCAGCCTCTGTATCGCCTCCTTATCTCTTCAATCATCACAGGGTAAAAAACTATCAGGAGTTTGAAAATCTGATCTCAATTCTCAATACACTGTGAATTTTAGCGGGTTTGGTGTTTGTGGTTTTAGGTATACGTTGTGGAATGCGGAGTATCGTGTGTCACTGACGAGGAATTACGATATAGTGACTGATCCTAGAAAGGAGGATGATGAATCTTGGAAAGACGATGTCATGGAGAAGGGAGTGAGTGAGGGTTTAGGGGATGATTGTGTTGAGGAGTTAGAGAGAATGAGTCCTCCTCAGGTGTTTGGAGACTTGTCACCTGAAGCGTTGAGTTATATTCAGCAGTTGCAGTCTGAGTTAACTAACATGAAGGAGGTGTGTATCTATCTCACTGTGAAGCTCTTTGTGTTCATGTGTGATACTTTTAAGTTCTAATGGCTTTGTTTTAATGCAGGAGCTAGATTCACAAAAGAAGAAAGCTTTACAGATAGAATGTGAGAAAGGAAGCAAGAATGATTTGTTGGAGTATTTGCGTTCGTTAGATCCCGAGATGGTACTAAACGTTGAGATTTCTTTTGATTCTTATTTTACTCCTCAGTCTGTTGATGACGATAATTGTATTTACAGGTGACTGAGTTATCTCAACTATCTTCACCGGAAGTTGAAGAAATCGTGAGCCAGCTTGTCCAAAACGTAATGGAGAGGATCTTCGAGGACCAGACTACTTCAGCTTTGATGCAGGGTTCAGTCATAAGGACTAGTACAGAAGGTGGTGATGGAGCTGGTGGTAGAAAAGTGGACGCTTCCAGGGATTACCTCGCAAAGCTCCTTTTCTGGTAACTTTTTTTTTTATCGTTCTTTATCCACGAATAATCATAACAGAGGTTTTTTAATCGCATCGATGGTTCGTTTTATTTCAGGTGTATGCTGTTGGGACATCATTTAAGAGGTCTGGAGAATAGATTACATCTCAGCTGTGTTGTTGGGTTGCTGTAAAATCAAAAGACTCAGAAAAAAAGGAGACAAAAAAAGAAAACACATCAATGTATATTCTTCTCCTCCATTTTGATTTCTTTAATCTAATAAGCGTTAAGTTATTAATCAATCAATTTTCTCTCTCTCGCTTTGTGATTTTCCAATTAGGTTTAAATGTTGAGATATAGTGTTTAGCTAAACAAAGTTTATGAACATAGGAAATAAGGATGACTAGATAGCGTTACCAGAGTAGTTCATTGGGAACTTAGACCTGTTGGAGGTAAATCATTTAGTACATGGTTAGTTGGTTACTTTACCAGCATGATTAATACAATTCGTTTTCCTTTTATGGATGTTTAAACATATGCTGCATCTTCTTTACGATGTAGACAGCGTTGCTAAATTCTCTCTTCTTTGCTTAGATAAATGTCTTCATATGGATCTTAATGCTATTTGTATATCTTTGTTATAATTATATTCATTGATCTGTTTTTGTCAAACTGACCTGTTGTAAAGTAGGTGGTTAATTTAATCGAATTTCTCACGTGTACTAACTTCACCAACCCCATTCTGATAGTTACAAAAGAGTGTTCAGATGTCTTTTTCTTTTACACTTCACATAAGAATATTAGTTAACCAAATATGAACTCAGTTTAATACGGGTCGGTGTGATACGTGTTTGATTTCTTACATATTTTTTAGTTTACTCAGAATGGCTGAAAGGAGTATTGATTTGATTCTACTGATATATATTTTGTTTCTCTTAGAAAAATTAGGTAGAATAACTTTAGAACAGAAACAAGTTTTTATGGACACGAAACTAACCGAAAAAGCAGCAGTAGTTAGTAACTTAGTCTGTCACACAAGAAGCATTGGAACTCTTCTGTTTATTAGCTTTTCACCACTTCAAACAAACCAACTCAAACCTAACTCATCTGTACTAAAAACATGGGACTCCACCCTGTCTCTGAGGCCAACGTTTCAAGCCCCTTCGGCTCTCTCTCCCCCGCCGAATTCTACTCCCGCCATTCCGTCACCCACTCCTCCGCCTACATCACCAACCCAACTGGACTCAAACTCTTCACCCAATGGTGGACTCCTCTCCACCGTCCACCACTAGGCCTCATCGCCGTGGTCCACGGCTTCACCGGTGAATCCAGCTGGTTCCTCCAACTAACCTCCGTCCTCTTCGCCAAGTCAGGGTTCCTCACTTGCGCCATCGACCACCAAGGCCACGGCTTCTCAGACGGGTTAACCGCTCACATCCCAAACATCAACCTCATAGTCGACGACTGCATCTCCTTCTTCGACGACTTCCGTAGCCGTCACTCTTCCTCCTCCTCCCTACCTTCCTTCCTCTACTCCGAGTCCCTCGGCGGAGCAATAGCTCTCTACATTACCCTCCGCCAGAAATCACAATGGAACGGTCTCATCCTCAGCGGCGCCATGTGCTCCATCAGCCACAAGTTCAAACCTCCGTGGCCTTTACAACACCTCTTAACCCTAGCCGCTACTCTCATCCCCACCTGGCGCGTCGTACCAACTCGCGGCACCATCGCCGGCGTCTCTTTCAAGGAGCCCTGGAAACGGAAGCTAGCCTTCGCTAACCCCAACAGAACAGTCGGTAAACCACGCGCCGCCACGGCCTACGAGCTCGTAAGAGTCTGCCAGGATCTTCAAAGCAGATTCGAAGAAGTAGAAGTTCCCTTGATGATAGTACACGGCGGAGACGACGTCGTCTGTGATCCTTCCTCGGTCGAGGAGCTTTACATGAGATGTAAGAGCAGAGACAAGACGATAAAGATTTATCCAGGGATGTGGCATCAGCTGATTGGAGAGTCGGAAGAGAACGTCGACTTAGTGTTCGGTGATGTTTTGGATTGGCTCACGAACCGGTCTGTAAACGACGCCGTTAACGTTTGTAACAAAGCTTGAAAACCGTTTAGCTTTCATATATATATAAATAACGTTTATGTTTATAGTAAACAAAACGCTCCGAGAATGTTGTATTCAAGATCCTCGAGAATAGGTCAAACTATGTTACGTGACTCTCAAGAAACATTGTTAAACAACAGAAAGTATATAATTTTTTATGAGTTCAACCTCTTGTGGGAAGCTAAAAAATGAAGGATATAATGAAGGAAGTGGAAGGGAAAGTGAAGTTTTCAATGGCGGATTCGACGATGATGTTACTTGTACAACAAGCAATGGACAAAGCTCACGAAAAGATCAAAACAAAACACGGTCTTCTCCTCCGTCTTAACGCTATATCCCTATTCTACGAACTCGCTGTATTACAGCTCGAGACTTGTCTTAATTTCGTGCAACAAGAGACCGATAACCTCGAGAGTAACCACGAGGAAGTGGTTCACGATCTTAGAAAGATCAAAGACAGGCTTCACCACCGTCTCCTAGAGACAGAACTAGCTATTCTAGAGAAAGACAGAGAGTTGTTAGAGAGGTCTGAGAACGAAGCGAGTCTTAGAAACGTCTTGGAGAGTAAAGAAACAGAGCTGGTTCATTTGCAAGATCTCGAGAGAAACAGAAGTTGTAATAATAAGATGATTGGAGATGAGTTTTCTGAGCTGAAAAGTTCTGTTGATCATCAAGTGATGAATCTTAGACAAAAGATTGAGACAGAGTACGATCATCAACTGGGAGAGGATGATCCTTCAGGTGTTGATATAGATGTTTTGAAAGGGACAATGGATCTTGCTTTTAACAAGATGCATCACGCGATATTCTTGTCGGAGTTAGGTCCCATTGAGCAGAGTTGGAGATGGTCTATAGAGAGGGATACAATGGCGTTACTGATCAAAGGTTTCATGAATGGTTTAGAGGATGAGAAGAAAAAGGTAATGATGGTTGTGAGAGATTATGAATTAGGTTTTAAAGATAAGGTTTGTTTGATTCGTAGAGAAGTGGAATGTTTAGAAGAATCACAAATCATCATTCATAGATCATCATCATCATCTCCTAGAGTAATATCTTCAATAGATTGTGAAGTTGTTCATGATGGTGATAAAGAAGAAGAAGAAGTGGGAGAAGAAGATTCAAGTAACTATCCTGTTTCTAAGTTGATAAAGAGTCATGAATCAATCATTAGGAGGAAGAGTGAAGAGCTTGTTTCTCCTAAAATCGAGTCTGTTAGACGTCAGAGGAGCTACAACAGCTCTAGCTCTAAGCGAGCTATTGATGATATCGTTGCAGGTCTTGATAGCTTGTTGTGTCTCAACACTAAGCTATTAGAACATTTTTGTTTTAATGATGATGGTAGATATGATCATCTTGAAGTGGACAGCTTGGATGATGTTTGGAAGAAAATGCAGAAACATAATAGATCGGTGTTGTCTGAGAATGAGGTAGAGGAGAAAGAGGGTGTAGAGATGGAGTTAATGATCTTGGAAGATACTTACTTTACTCTACTCAAAGGTCTGTTAACTGATGAAATCACAAACGTCAAGAAAAAGGAAGAAGAAAATATTGAGATTCTTCATGAAGATGAAGTGTTCAGACAAGAAGTGGATTGGGTTATTCTAAGAGAGTTGGTAAGAGAAGTTTCAGAGAATAAAAGGTTGCTTGAAGAACAAGGAAAGAGAGAAAGCTTGGAAACAGCTCCAGTCTTTGATGATCTTGAGATTCTTCGTGAAGATGAAGAGTTCAAACAAGAAGTGGATTGGATTATTGTAAGAGAGTTGGTCAGAGAAGTTTCAGAGACTGTAGAGAATAATCAACAAAGGACTGAAGCAGAGAATAAAAGGTTGCTTGAGGAACAAGGAAAGAGAGCATGCTTGGATACATCTATAGTAGTTGATGATTTTGAGATTCTTCGTGAAGATGAAGAGTTCAAACAAGAAGTGGATTGGATTATTGTAAGAGAATTGCTTGGAGAAGTTTCAGAGACTGTAGAGAATCTTGAAAGGGTTGAAGCAGAGAATAAAAGGTTGCTTGAGGAACAAGGAAAGAGAGCATGCATGGAGATATCTTTAGTCTTTGATGATTTTGATTTCAAGATTCAAGATAAGTTGAAGAAGGCAGCTTCAGGGTTTCAAAACTTGGGGAAAAATATTGATTCAACGATGAATTATGTATCAGAGCTAAGACGTAAAGAATCTGTTTATAGAACAGCTTTTCTTGTTAGATCTGAGAATCTCATAAAAGCAGAAACTGAGGTAAAAAAAACAGTTTGTTATTATTTTTATTTTATTGAAAAAGAACAGTTTGTTATTTCATTCATTATTATGAGAATTGTTATGTTAAAAACTGCAAGAAATAAAATTTTCAGGTTGATCTTCTGGGAGATCAAGTCGATGCGCTTGTGAAGCTTCTACAGAAAACACTTTGGACATTTCATCAACATCCATTGCTTCTTTGCAATCACTCAGATGTAAGTTAACCTCTGTCTTTTATAAATAAGTAGATTGGTTCACAAGTAATATATATATCTCTGTTTTATTTTCTTTTGTTTTTTTCCAGATATCAGAAATCTGTAAGATGATCAAGGAAGTGTTATATGAGGGTTACAAAGCAAATTAACCTACAGAATCAGAATCAGTTTCTTGAGTAATTAACTTTCTTACTACTATAAATGTCTGCATGGGGACATCAAATGTTTACTTAATTCATCAAATTCAGTACTTTTAAAAAAATATTTATTTTGTATGTTTATTAATCCTTCAGTTTAAAATATGAAAGTCAAACTTCAATTAGAAGGTTTATATTAAACCTTAAAAATCATAAAGGAAACTATTAATTTTGTAACTAAAATTATTTTTTTTTAGCAAAGAAAAAAACTAAAATTATTTGTATTGTCTCTAACATCCACCACATAGTATCTATCGAAATGTGTTCATCAAAACTTATGTTATTTATGCCAACAAACTTTAAGTCGCAAAATTTGATTCAAAAAATTTAAATAAATCAGATTGGATATTAAATTATATTAGACAAAATGTTATAACTTTACTATACCAATTTGTTTTTCATGTTTTTTTTATAAAATGAGAAATTGATCATAGAGAAAAACATAACAATCTTCTCTATTAAAAGAGAAGTACCAAATTTATCTACTATTTAGAAGTCATATTGGACCATGTCATTAATTATTTAATTTGACATATTTGATTGTTACATTGTCAAATATATATTATTTTAAAAATATCTTAATAATTAATAAATATATTAATAATAAATGAATTTAAATACAAAAAAATCTGTTGAAAAAATCTAACAAGATCTTACCAAAAATTTAAATATTTTTTTTTTATAAATAGGTATTTCTTTATTTATTTATTAGATATAATTATAGTTAAAGCTAAAATATAAATCATATATTTAAAAATTTTAGTTATATATTTATAAAATAAAAAATATACCCGCACGAATGTGCGGGTGAAACTCTAGTGTTAGTTATAAAAAGCGTACAGAAAAGAGTAGTTTCGTCCTGATTTTAATAAAGTATAACACGTAATGCTCCTCATCTAAGAAGTGTGTCTACGTGAAATAAGGAAGGCAATTCCAAAGTGTGACGAAGTATAATGCACTCAAAAAAGAATCATTTCACTTCTCAACACAACAAGATCTAAAAGAAACCATATTATTATTATTATTATTTTGTTTTTGTTTCCTCTTTCTCAAATTAATAGAAATGAAGCCGAAGCAAATTAATGCTATATTATTTATCTTAACAATGATCATGGCTTTGGTTTGTTATCATCAATCAGAAGCTAAATCATTTATTGGTCGTCTGAAATGCGTGTTAGTAGTAAGGAACGTTGAGGGTTGTGTGGATGCCATAAAGAAAGCTACAAAGGGAGACTACAATGGTTTAGATAAGGAATGCTGCGTCGCCATCAGTGGCATTACCAACGACTGTTTGCCGATTATCTTTCCCGAGAGCCCCGCCATTGGCTTACTCGTCAAAGCTGCTTGTGCCCGTATATTAGATTACGGCAATTAATTATTACTAGATCATAAGAGCCGAGTCATGTGCGACTCGAAAATATGTAACTGTATCATGCATTGCTTTTTATCTTCTTTTTTTTTATTAAGATTGCTTTTTATCTTTTGAAAAAAAGAACAAAAAAAGAGACAGATTTGTCAAACGAAATAAATAAACTGCTATAAAATTTTCTCGAATTATGTTTTAAGAATTATATAATTATTTTTACACCAATTTTTTTTTTCTTTCGTGACCGAGAGATATGTATTTTTCTTTTGACATCAACATATTACATATTTATATAGACCTTTAAACCAAGTGGTAGCTATATATCCATGTGTACGACAAAGATGATTGTTTCTTAGCACTACGCGCTAGCTTATCCGCCTTGGTATTCTGCGTCTTTGGGACATAGATAATATGTAAGCTTATAAAATTTCTCTTGAGTGTCTTGATATCCTCTAAGTAGATATTAAGAGATATATTAGAAATCAAAATTGTATTGTCAACTAGAATTCATACGAAAAAACCATAACTAAAAATTTAACTGGTGTAAAAATAACTCATTGATAGATTAAAATTATAAGAACAATAACAATATAAAAAATAACAATATAAATAGAAGAATCATTCTCGGGTTCATCCCTAAAATGAACCTATAAATTCAGCTCCTAACTATTAACCAATAAAAACTTTGTCATGTGTCATATTTTGTTTATAAAAAAACAGAAAATAATATTAATTACAGAACAAAATTTTGACATTCTAATATTCAAAACCATAAACCTTATATCTTAAATTCTAAATACCCTAAATCCATGATCAACACTACACTACAAATTCAAAGTTAACACTAAACTCTATAGCTACAACTCTTAACAATAAATCCTAAACCATATAGTTGATCCGAGATCCTAGGGTTTGGAGTTAGGGTTTAGAATGTTTAGGGTTTTACTGACACCGTTTAGGGTCTAAATCTTATTTTAGAGTTTAGAAATAATTCTAAATTTATGTTTAATTTTAAAATTTATATTTTAAGGTTTATTGTTTAGAGTTTGAACTATAAGATTTAGTGTTAATTCTAAAATTTAAGATTTAAAATCTGAGTTATAAGATTCAGAGTTTACCAAATTTTATAACGTTAAATTGTTTTTTTAACTAATATTATTATTATTTTATAAGTATTTTCAGTTTAGGAGTGAACGCAAGAATAATTTTAAAAATAATAAATTACGAGAAGAAGAAACACTTTCCAAAAAAACACAAGTGGGGTGTTTAAAGAATATAAATGGGTCGTATAAAGTAAATGGGCTTCAAAACGTAATGGGCCAACACAATTTAGAAGGAAGAAGAAGCCCAAGTATGAATAAACGTCAAGCTTCAACATTTACAGTCTAGTCTCCGGCTTTAAGCGGCGATGTTCTTCGAAGTGAACTTGTCGGATTCTGTAGTCTACATCTTGCCGAGTCCTTATGTTTACATAAATAATCTTTTTGGGCATTGAAAGTCTTCGATAAAGTTAAGAACTTTGGTCATTAATCACAGAAGAGACCTGTGATTGGGTTTCTCAACTCCAGTTTCTGTTCTTCTTTGGGGGTTTTTAGGTTCTCGAAAATGAGAGGAATCTTTCTTATTAGATCAAGACTGTCACTTGTTAGAGCTTCCGCAGTTACCTGTTCGCGATCTATCACTGTTTTGCCTTATTCGAGCAGTAACTGTATTGTTCGACCAAGTTTGGATCCTCCCATAGCTCCTTTACTTCCTTTGTCTCTCTGTTCTTCGTTCTCTACGTCCAAGTTTGATTCTGAGCTAGTAGGGTTCAACCATGAGAAGGATAATGATGATGATGATGAAAATGAGCATGAGACTGAAGTAGATGTTGCTATAGATAAGGAGGTTGTTACAGAGGATGTTAAGACGGTTACAAAGCTGTTGGAAGAGTGTGGGAGCAACCGTAAGGAACTAAGAGAGAAGCTTGAGGAGTGTAGTGTGAAGCCAACAAATTCACTAGTGGTGGAGATTCTTTCACTATCACGTAACGATTGGGAAACTGCATTCACATTCTTTCTTTGGGCAGGGAAGCAACAAGGCTACGTTCATTCACTCCGTGAGTATCACTCTATGATCTCAATCCTCGGTAAAATGAAAAAGTTCGACACTGCTTGGACTTTAATCGACGAGATGAGAAAGTTAAGCCCTTCTCTCGTGACCTCACAGACACTCTTGATCATGATCAGGAAGTACTGTGCCGTGCGTGACGTTGGTAAAGCGATTAACACATTCCACGCCTACAAAAGATTCAATCTTGCAATGGGGATTGATGATTTCCAGAGCTTGCTCTCTGCTCTTTGTAGGTACAAGAACGTTCAAGACGCTGAGCATTTGATCTTCTGTAACAAGGACACGTATCCTTTCGATGCTAAAAGCTTCAACATAGTTCTTAATGGTTGGTGTAATGTGATTGGTAGTGTAAAACAGGCTGAGAGAGTGTGGATGGAGATGGGGAATGTTAGTGTCAAGCACGACGTGGTTTCGTATTCTTGTATGATGTCTTGCTACTCAAAAGGAGGGAATTTGAACAAGGTTTTAAGACTCTTTGACCGGATGAAGAAAGAGGGTATAGAGCCTGATAGGAAAGTGTATAATGCGATGGTACACGCTCTTGCCAAAGGCGGGTTTGTCAAAGAGGCGATCAACTTGATGAAGACAATGAGAGAGGAGCCAAACGTTGTGACTTACAACTCTCTTATCAAGCCTCTGTGCAAGGCTAAAAAGACAGAAGAGGCTAAGAAGGTGTTTGATGAGATGCTTGAGAAAGGGATTGTGCCGACGATACGGACTTACCATGCGTTTATGAGGATACTAAGAACAGGGGAAGAGGTTTTTGAGATGTTGGGTAAAATGAGAAAGATGGGTTGTGAACCGAATGTGGATACTTATATAATGTTGATCAGGAAGTTTTGTAGGTGGCGTGATTTTGATAATGTGGCGTTGTTGTGGGATGAGATGAAGGAAAAGGGTGTTGGTCCGGATCTTAGCTCATATATTGTGATGATACATGGGATGTTTTTGAATGGTAAGGTGGATGAAGCGCATGAGTACTATAAAGAGATGAAGGAGAAGGGGTTGAGAGCTAATGAGAATGTTGAAGTTATGATTCAAAGCTGGTTTGAAGGAAAGCAAAGTGTAGAGAAGGGGATGGTAGATGTGAAAGGTGATGAAAAAGAAGGTGGTATTGTGAAGAAAACTGAAAGAGAAGGGAACTTTTTGCAGCAGCCTGAGGTGAGACGTGTAGTGAGAGGACATGGTTACTCGTTTTGGGACGAATAGGTAAAAGCTAGTTCTGCTTAGGTTTGATCATAACATGTTTGAGTTTGTTTTGAGAATGAACTTGTATGAGAAGACTAAACAAAAGAAAATAGAAAATCGTTTATTTATATTATAAAAAAAAAGAGAGAATCTCTCCTTTGAACCTTTCTATGTTTTGTAGATACAAACCAATTTATGTGTTTGCAATATTTACAACCATGGTTTTTTGGTTATAAATTCTAAATTAAGATACAAATTAGATCAATACACACTACTGTGCAGAGTATTGAAACTTCATTGGTCTGTCTCTAACCTTCCTTTGTGTGTTGAAGTAAGAGAGAAAAGTTGTTCTTGTTGTCATCATCTTGAAGCTGAAAGAAAGCTGCGGAATCTTTCTATATTATCCAACTTACGTCGTTGTTGCGATGGTTTAACATGTGACAAGTTGTTCTTCTTCTTCTGTTTCTTCTTCTTCCTGTGGAAGAAATCCTCCGTATCCAAAACATACGAAATCTACGACAACAAGGGATGTTATGAAGACATAAGAGAGACGAATCATCAATCAGCTCTTACTTAGATTGGTTCTAGTTGTTAGTTACCTTGTAGGAAGAGCAGGACATCTTGCACTCAAGGCCATTAATTACTTCTACACCTTCCATTGCCTTGCAGGCTACTGCAAGATCATCCAGACCAGAGTATCCCCGCATGTTCCTGCACCAAAAACGAATTCAGCGAAAGGATTTGGTTTTATGTGTTATGTCCTGAATCATTCCAAAAGTAATGGAACTGTATCACACTCTATACAGCAAGAGATGGATTTCTGTGTGATTAGAGACATGTCAAAGGTAACTGAAACTCATTATACCTTTGTAACACAATTGGCTGTGGCATTGTTTTTTTTCCTGGTGTGTTGGAAAGAAACTCCTTTTGCAGATAACTTGCAAACGTGGGTTCCATGGAAACTGCATAAGCCTCGGGCTTTTCGATTATATTATCCATAAGCTGGATTGACAAACGAGGAGGAGAGGACGACTACATATGAATTAAAACACACGCTCCAGAGTCAATGGACGATCATAGTTAATCAATGTGAGAAAAGATGAGAGTTGGTTTTAGCGTTCTTACACATTCCAACCGATAAATGTTTTCCTCGTGAAGGAGGATCCTGGAGTTTTCATAATACACAGAGTCAATGACCCTCCCAGGTTTCCGAGTTTTCTCATACTCATACAACTGAAGAAGCTTGTTGTCTGTATCGTCTGCTACAACAGCTTGAAGCTGCAATACAAGTCAGAAATTTAGAAGGAATATAATAAATGATCAAATCTAAAACCAATAAAGTAACCGGTGCTGAAGATTACATGTTTAACTAATTTGTATATCAGTTTCTCTAAGGTGAATAAAACATAGGACTGGTTTCCAATAATAGCTCGGCATTCATCCTCAAATTTGGAACTTTCAGCTGAGCCATTAAGCAGACTAAACAGAGCACTCATAAACCTGCACAAAATTAGTTTATCAGTTACTTTTATTGAACTGAAAAAAAAACTCCACGGTCTAAGAATGTACCTTGCATAAGGATCTGGAGAAGTAGTAGTATCCTTTGTGTTTCTCCGATTGCAATATGTTTTTGCAGAGGAAATTCTCTCGTACAGTATCTGGAAATTCAAACCCCAATTAGAACAAAAATTACTAAATCATTTTAAGTCAACAACTACGTTTTCAGACTTTTAATCTGAAAAGGAAATTAAAAGAAACGATTGCACTTACTCGATGAAGCCTGAAAAGAACATAAAAGTCGTCATTCCCATAGAAAACTCTGGAAACTTGTTTCCTCTCATCAAGCAAAGCCGCTGCAGCTACATGCTTTGAAAGCGGCTTAGCAGATAATAAAACACGTTCTGACAATGGAAGCAACCCATTGTCTTCTTCTATATGATGCGACTCTATACCCTCTGCGTCTCCTTCACTTTCAGCTTTACCATGCTCACCCTCTTCCTCAACACCATTGTCTTCCTGTGAACACTCGTCACCAACAGATTCAGTTCCCGACGCATCCTCACTACCTTCTGAAGCATCTTCACCATCCTCATCGTCAGGATCATCATCATTTTCTCCTACAGCTTCAACAGAATGTTCTGATTTGGCAGTAGACTTCAATCCATGATCTTCATAAACAACATAGTTGTCTTCAGAATCGCCAATAGGTGACAATTCACCTTCCTCCTTCTCGATTTTGGATGGACCACCAGATTCATCATAGTTACTATTGGCTTTAGAAGCATCTGTCTGCACTCCATTTGCTATAGCTACAGTTCTGCCAATATCACCAACCTAAAGATATGACCATGAATAATGAGAACAGTCAGAAGAGTCTATAAAAAGCAAGTAAAAACATATAAGTAAAATGTGAAACTGAGTACTGTACCTGGGTACGCTGAATGGCATCAATGTTATCCACAGCGCCACTCGGTTTGGGTAAAATATCACGTGTGCCTGAAAATAAAAATAAAGAATCATTGACATGTTAAGGTTGGTATTGCACACAAACTAAAGGAAAAAAAAAAAGTTCAATCCTGGAAGTACCTAAAGAATCACCGCTTCCTACTTTACCATTATTGTTATCTACCCCACTTGGGAATGATGCACTTGTCGTGGCTACTGCTCTTTCATCAGCATCTCCTGATTTTTTAACGGCTCCATTTCCAGTTTCAAGATCTTTCTGGAGGTTTACAGCAGAACAGGTGGCAACATCTTTACTAGCCAGATCAACATCCTTACAACTTTCTGTTCCCGAAGAATCCTTATTTGTTGAACCAGTCCCGCCATGTTTGGAGACCCCAGATGAAGCATACTCATCTCCATTGGCAGTAAATTTTAGGTGCTTTGAAACCAAACTTACAGCTTCAGAACTCACATTACACTCTCCACTCGTAAATGCACCGTGATGCTTGGTTTCTGCAACATCTTCAACAGGATCTGGCCCCTTGGCCCTGGGTGGAACACCAAGCATCAACTCCAGGAAATTTTTCCAGAGCCTCAGAACTTTACTGATCTGCTCTTTTGAAGAACATATCTCCTCACAAGAAAACTGGACTAGTTTGAATAGATCCTCATGAATACTTCTGTCAAAATATTCATACTCGAAGTGAGGAACTATGGGTTGTCTGTAACCAGCAGAAATAGACAGAGGAACATCGTCTTCTTTCTGAGATTTCTCTTTAAGGTCCTTGATTTCAGCCACCATCGCTGGTATTCAAGCAGAATTAAAAAATTAAAATTATGAGAAGAAATAAGTAAATACAAGTTTCCTGATGGACCGAACAAATTCCAAGAGTTTACTTACCTTTTGCACTCAATTTCTTAGAATCTTGCTGCTTAAAATAGAAGCTGCGATGATCGAGTGATTTGTAATGATTTTTTGCATACACATCCGCCCAGACAGCATTAAAATCTTCGCGGCACTTTGTCCATTCATCTTGTTTCTGCTTCAAACGAGTTAGAACCACAGGAAGTGCAGCGGCTGGATTCTTACGTATTAAGTCTGTCACGTCTAGACCATGGTCGCCATAAAGTCTCTCTATGCACCTTAAATTTAGGGCTGCGATAAGTCGATAAAAAAATAGCAAATGTAAGACGAGATGAAGGCTCCAAGATAGAGAGAAGAGATAAAACAGAGAGAGCTACAATTACTAAACGCCTACACACCTGTGAAGTGGTCTTCAACCTGAAAGGAGCCCTCAAAACTTATTTTTTTCTCAATGATAGTATTCAATAACTCTTCTGCGCTTTTTGCAGCAGATCCCACAGATTCCAACAGCATATCCAACTCAAATCTGTAACAAGAAGCAAGAAAACAACAACCACAAGATACAAATTATTTAAGAATACAAAAGCTATTATATAAGTAAAAGTTGTAAAACGTACCTGTCATCTTCACATCTAAACAAGCTTTCTTCATATTGGTTTCTGCGCATGTGCTTAAAGGAGTCTTCACTTCCTGAAGTGGCAGAAACCCAGTGATCATTTAAAACAGCAGCTCCTGTTTTCTGTCTGTGGGGCATAGAAGGTATTGGATACTGCAAAGAAAATATATCAATACATAAAATTAAAATGCCTCGGATGCAATATGGTGCTCTGAAATTTTTATTACATCAGAAGGGAGGAGACGGTAGCTAGGAGTGCAACGCTCGCATTCAGATAGATCAAGCTCCTGTATGGATTTGCCCATGTACTTTTCCTTGGAACGCTCCTTTTCCTTAGCATCCTCAGTGTCGCGTTTGTGATCTCTTTCTTTTTCCTCCGCCCTAGATAGATGTTCTTCACTGCTCAGCGATTCTGCAGCAAGTGTACCCAACCTTGTTAGTAATGTTTCAATGACGAAGAAAAAGCCAAGACAAAAAGCATATTCATAGACAAGAAGGTAAGAAAATGCTGTATACTTTTGCTCATAACGCTAGCGAGATGCTGGAAACTATCTGCAAAATGGAATGATAATTAGAAACAGCTGGATACCTTCACTAGAAAAGATACAGTAGGAAATCTTAAATACCAGTACTCTCACAACGCTCGAAGAATTGATTGAACTCATCCATGAGATCAGGGAATTTTCCAAGCAGATCAGAAACCTGAATGAAAGAAAGAGAGTAGAGATAAGACAAAAGTTATCCCCTATCCATAAACACAAAAGCTATTCCAGACCTACCAATTTCTGTAGTTCTATCCTGTCGACAATTCCACTGCTGAAAATACTGAGACACTTTAAGAATGACTGATAATCATCTTGGCTGCATAATTTCTCCTTGACTTTCTCACAAAACACAAATGCTTGGTTGTACATGCCTAGCACAATGAAAGGAACACACAGAAAAACAATATCAAAAATTGTAGAGTCTAAAAACAACAAAATTAGATTGGTTGCACCATAATATACCTGTTAACTAGAAAATTAGGAAATCTACGTCTACTAAAAAGATCCCATAATTAAAAAAAAAAAAATCAGCAATCTATCAACTAATATACTGTGACAAAATAATGTGTAGGATGTTACTAATCTCCTGTATAAAGCATTAAACTGTGCAAAACAGAAAAGGTGTTAACTCTCCATTTCACTAAAAGTCTCTTACTTTTTAGATTGTTTTTCTCAGAATGTGAGGCATGACCAGAATAAGCTTCAAAACCCTCAGTTTTTCTGGATGACTTTCTTTTCTCTGGAAAATGGTGCAACGCTGCTTCTCCATCGTCCAAATCACGACTTCTCCTTTCTCTATTCTCCTTGTCGGCTCGTTTCCTCGGATCTCTGTGCATCTTAACCATTGCTTTATCATCATTAAGGTCAGAACGGTCAACACTATGATCACGGTCACCCCTAGAAGCAAGAGCTCTTTCTCGTCGTCGGCGCTCCTGATGATTAAAAAACATATAAACACAGATGAGGGAAAAGGTAACCAATAGTCCAAATACCATACCTTGTCTATTAACATTCGAGGAGGGTCTGATCCTCGGTGATCATACCGTTGGGCCTGACTCCGGATTAACTGGGCAGCTGAGTGAGGCGCCAAAGACTCTGGCAAAAATCTAGTAAACTCTTCAAGCAAATCCGGGTGGTCCTCAAAAAGAGTCGATACCTAACAAAGTTAAAAAAGAAACTAAGAAATTTCAACTGTAACAATGTTAGGAGAAAGATATAGTCATAATTCCAGCGGTACCTCATTGTAAACCTCGGTGATGTTCTTATCATCCTTACGATACATGTTTAAGATCTCCAAGAAAGACTTATACACATCTTCATCGTGCTGGAACCGTTTCTGCAGTGTTTAAAAAAACGACACTGATACAATGAGACACTTGAAAAGAATAAATTAATACAAGAAATTTTTTAGCGTACCTTAATTTTATTCACAAAAGATATGGCTTCTTCAAACTCAACAGTTTTTTTAGGTTCTTCTACTTCATCAAGAGTAATTTCAAACCCCTTAGGCAGGAAGGTGTTAAACCCTAAAATCAAATTGTTATGACCCTTGAACAACTCCTTCACTCGTGCAATCACACCAGAAGTATCGGTCCTGTAAAATGCAAGATGATGAATCTTTCTATATCCTTTAAAAAAAAGAAAATCAATCTGATGGAGGGATTCTTACCTATGTGCCTTGAAGTCTTTCATAACCCCAAGGAACATATCATACTTGTCCCTCTGATCTTGAAACATCTCTTTAACATCCTTCAAGTAGGACAAAGCATCATGGGTTGTCAGTTTCTGAGAGTTTATTCCCTCATCACCAATGCTCCCTCCTCCATCTCCTCCTCCACTTTCAGGGATTGAAGATTGCACATATCTAAACCAACCAAAACAAATTTCAATTTTTATCAACACATAAGTGTACAACCACCTAAAGCCAAAAGATCCATAGGGACATTACACTGTTCCTAACACATTCACTAAATTCTCCGTGCAAATAGAGTCTTGAATCAAAATAAGATAAAAAGAATAAGACTTTCCTGATCTAAAGTGTTAGATAATTGCATGGGATGAAAACTAAGTTGATCAGCAAGTTAAATCAAGAAATTGTTTCAAGCAGATAATGAAACTTTTAAATTTATGGTTTTTACAGAAAACAACCTAGAATTATTATTTTTTAACTTTTTTTTTAAAACCGGAAATACAAACACCTGCATGAAAGCAACATAATTAGAGAAATTGAAAATTCAAAGTGGGACAGTAGAAAAGGGGGGTAAAGGTAAACTCACGAGTCGCGTCGAGAAGAGCCAAAAGGACGTTTCAATTGAGAACCCCCAGATGAGTAAACATCATCTCTCATCCGTTTCATTGCTGCCTGTAAATAAAAAACAAGATCATCAAATTAGGAAAAATCTCATAATTGAGAGAGAAACTGGTAAAAGTTCAGATTAAGTTGAATAATTAATACATATACTTTATTTCGCTACAGAAGAGATGTAACGATTCAATCAGATCTCTTAAGTAATAGAGATGAAAACACTTTGGATCATCCACCACTGTTTATCACAATATTTTATTTAAGGAATTGAAGCAGAATTACAATTGCGATGATAAGAGAGAGTTGAATTAGAACTAAACAATCAAAACGTAAATAGATGAGATTGTGTAAAGGAGTTGATACCACTGAGAGAGAGAGAGAGAGAATATGAAGAAGAAGAAAAATAACGACGGAGTTTGCGCTTTGGTTGCTCCTTGTTGAGTAATTATTCCAGCGGCAGTAATTATAATTTTTCTTTTGTTTAGACCATAAATAAAGACATTTGATCTTCATTTATAATGGGCTTAAATAACAGTATTCTTTACTCTTCTTTGGGCCTTAATAGGCTTGGAGAGGCTGAACATTGTTCTTTTTAATCAATGCTACTAATTAGGGTTTGCTTTTTGTAACACGTTAACCATTAGTAGTCATATATAAACAAGAGTCACGGATAACGCGGTCATATAATAGGTATATGGTTCGTTCATCTTCTTTCTTCTTTGATTTTTAGATTTTTCGATTTATTTTTCTATTAGTAGTGAGATCAGTTGATGAGCAAATACTGCAACAATAAGAAGGAGAAAATCTTCATGATTATTAGTATTTTATATTTCTCTGATGATCTAATCTGTTTGTCTTTTTCGATTCGCTGTGTTAGAAACAAGAGATGTGATGAGTAACATTTTGGTCCGTGTTTCAGATTAACCGTGACCGATAATTACTAACCAAACTCTGATCTATTTGTTTTCTTCTAAAAACACTTTTCATAACACACTATGAAGACCACTGTTTTATACTAAATGAGAGACAGTGAGAGCCTATAATATATTGTGCTATGATGATTTTTTGAATAAAATTCACATGTCAGACTTCAGAGATTCTTTTAATTAAGAATCCATGAGAATAGATATTCATAATTCTGAGCACAAGTAATATTTTTCCCTTCATTACTAGGCCATTTGAACTAAGTTACTTTTGGATCGGAAACAAGATATGTGATGAGTAAATAAAAAAAAAATTTCATTTGGATTCAATGAAACTAAAATAAGGCTCACTATACTGAGCACGAGTTATTTTATATAACCCTGAAGAAACTATCATTAAATTATTTAACCGTAACAAATACAATTAAATTAACAAAGTCACATGGAGTGCATTTGACTACTGTCATGTAATTTGTCCCTAGTCACATGGAGATCTATAACTTTGGAGAGGGAGAGAGATAAGACAATAACTGTTGATTACGTAACAAATCAACCAAGAACCAATAATAATATTAATAATCATCAACAGAATCACTATGCTTAGGTTTGAAACTTCATGACAAGGAAAAGAAAGTAACTTTGCTGATGTTGTGACACACCTAACCATAAGGATTATTAATAAATAAAAAGGTCAAGCTTTAGTGTGGACAAGAGAAAACAAAATTAGTGATCAAATTATTCTTCACGGTATTCTCGGCAATTAATAAGGAAGAAAATTTCAAAAGTTCAAGTTACTATACAGCCTTCAAAGCATAATCATGTTCATTAACACAAACTCACTGTATATTTTTTTGTTTAGGCCAAAAAAACTCGCATGTTTCTCTATTACCTGCATTGCCGTGGTCTGAAATTCTCAGTCGATAACAAATACGTTACGAGTTTCTCAACCCGTTTAGCTCCAGAACCAGGCTTTACAACCAAAGTGTCACCAATCTCAGCACACGGGTCGCTCCCGTTTTCCCTCGTCCCAATACACCAACCACCCGGAGTAACCATCCCTGGACTCCGAGACAAGAGCTCTGAATCGATCTTATCTAGGACAGGTTCATCTCTACGGAACTTTCTAGCGAAAGGTGCGTTACTGTCCACCATTCTACCGAAATCATCGAGCGTGAGATGGTGCGGATGCTGCTTAGGAGGATTGTCCCATGAGATGAAGTGTAAGTCACTGTTAACTGTCGTGTTGCTAAACTCTTTAGCGTTGCAGACCACCGTGTGGAAGTAGCCTTCTGGTGAGGAGAGGAAGTTCGCGTAGTACATTAAGACAATGCGAGGTAGATTGTCCCATCCCCAGATGAAGTAATCCACAAATGGTCGTGACAGCATCATCCACGCAGATCCTATCAAACCACATCAAATAAACATTAAGATAAAGCCAAAGTTTCCTACATCTAAGGGATTCATATCTATATTTTGCACATTAATCACCCTAAAAAGAAAGATTTCTGAAATGAGTTGACCTCTGAAGAGTTTAAAACATACATTATACAAAACATTATAGGGATTCATATCTAAAATGAATCCCTAAAAAGAAAGATTTCTGACATGAGTTGACCAGTGAAGAGTTTGAAAACATACATGATACAAACATTATAAGCTTCCTACATTTCAGGAAGACAAACTCACATCAAACAAACATTAGCTCACTTTAGTTTCAAACAAAGCCAAAGTTTCCTACATTTAAGGGATTCATATCTATATTGAGACATTCCCAATATGTTAATCACCTCCTAAAAAGAAAGATTTCTGAAATGAGTTGACCTGTGAAGAGTTTAAAACATACATTATAAGTTCTCCTACATTTCAGGAAGACCAACATGGATTTACATATAGATTTAATATAATCATATCCCCAAAACGGTAACTACCCAATAATGGAAAGGTAATAGAACCTGTGAAGTAACTAACTACCCAATAATAATAATGGAAATAAAATAAAAAACCTGTGAAGAGTTTGAAAGCAGTAGGCATGCTTCTCTTCTGTGAAACCCAGAAAACATCAGCTTTCTTTGACATATACAAACCAGGATCAATTATTATCGGCTTTGCTCTATGAGACCTACCAAAAATAAATAAATAAATAAATAACCTCATTAACATTGTCACAACAACAAAAAAGCTACACTTACTCTTTCCACCCAATGTTGCTCGTATGATCAATAAAATTAAGATCCCGCGGCAGATACGAAAACGTATGCAACAGATCTGTTTATCCAACAAAACAATTCAATACTACACAGAGCTTTCAAAAAAAAAAAAAAAAAGAATCTAAGCTCCGTTATACCATCTTGCGTGACGAGAGGGTAATCCGAAGCGCTAAGATTAACAAACCAATCCCAATCACCACCTTCCCTAAGCAAAACCGCCGCCGCGTGAAGCGTATTCGCCACCATAGTCGGTCCACGATACGTAACGAAGTTCGCCTTCACGATCATCCTCACGTTCTCAAACCTCCGAAACAGCGTCTGGTTCGCGACGAACGCGGCGAGATCCAGCCTCTCCTCGGGGGAGGACTCGCGGTCGAGGTGGACGACGTACTGGTTGTTGGGGTGGTAGAGCGCTAGCAGCGTCCGTTTCAGCATCTGGCCGTCGCCGGAGGAGCCGGAGATTAGGTAGGCGAGACGCGGAGGCGGCGGAGGAGGGGAGAGGGAGAGGGAGAGGGAGACGGGTAAGGGATTGATTTTGGACTCGACGAAGAGGGAGGATCTGAGGTTGTAGAGTGATAAGGGGAGGAGACGAGATTTGGAGGAGGAGGGGGAGGATAGGGTTGTTAGGAGGAGGAGGAAGAGGGAGCAGATGGATCCGATTGTTAGTGGGAGGATCCATCTACGGTCTGATGGTTGTTGTTGGTGGTGGTTACGACGGAGTTGGAGATAACAGCTTTTCAGCTTCTTCATTTCCTTCTTTGGCGTTTTTTTTTTTCAGATCGGTTTGTCAGTGGTGATGGTGGGAGAGAGAGAGAGAGAGAGTTGGAGTGAAGCGTTGGGTTTTGCTTACAGTCACAAACTGTAGAAATTACGAAATTGAAAAAAAAGGATGAAGAATTTGTGTGTGTTTTTCTTCGTTTGTTGGTCTGTTCTTTTTGTATGTTTCTATATTTTTTCTATCAATATTGCTTTCATTTTTAATTATTATTATTTTAGCATTTGTGATATTTGTAAAATTAGTATTTGTTTCTACAATGTAGTAACATATTTTTGTTTAAGTTTAGTTATTTATTACAAATGGTGATATATGCACGTAAATATCTAATTTTATCAGATTTGTGTCGGTGGGTTTTTGATATATCTGGTTCTTTTCTACAATTTAATACTCATTACATAGTGGAACTCCATTCTTAGTTTAGTGATTTGACTAAAGATTAATAATGTTTCTATATAAAAAAGTATGGGTTTCAATTCTCGAAATATTGAATTATAAAAAAATATTAGATAAAATATTTTAAAAGACGTTCATCATGGCACAAATAATATTATTAGAAATGAATTTCACAAGATGGTTCAAGATTAATATCATAGTTAAAAAAATACTCACTACATATATTTTGTTTGATCTAAAGTATCCAAACCATATATTTATTGTTTATATTTGGTTTTCTATGTGTTTTATCTAGATGTTATTGCAGTTAAAGTGTAGTCTTGAGAAACTATATTATTTGAATATTATGGTAAATGGTCCTTGTTAATCTTTGTTATTAAATGTATTTTTAGTAGGTGGATGGATGTTGTTTGATACTGATATAGTCACAGTTAAATAAATGCATATGTACTATGTAGCGTGTGGAAAGGGTTTAAATTGACGAAGAACATTCAACTGCAGTCAATTTGTTTCATTAATGTTGATTATTTAGTCTTTGTTTGAGGACTTTTGGTTGACTAATCTGCACTGCTAATCCTTCACATGTTGGCCTAATGGGCTTATCCATAAAAACCCATATTGAAAACGCATGCCCGCATGTGTAAGATTATGGCCATATTGGTTTTACTTTTACCAATGCTTGTCAAGTTCTTCTCCGTGTTTAAAGAATGATATTATTTTAGTGACACCACCGGTGGTTGGAACTTGGAACTGCAGCTGATTTCTAACTACCAATTTGATTTTATCGAAAGCTGGATACCATGCCCTTTCCACATACTTGGTTTTCCACTTTACTATAGTCGTCAACTAATTTCATATAAAATATATCAAAAAGTAAATGCGAAACTAAACATTTACTATGATGAACTATTGGTTCATAATATTTTAAGATGTTATTCATATATAATATATATAGTGTACGAAAGACATAATCATAAACACTTGCGACAATTAGGTCCAACATTAAACATTGACATGAACCAGTGTGTGCTGCCAAATCATAAAAAATAAAACTAATGGACTGAAACAAATTAAAAATCCTGCGACGAATCAAACCAAACAAAGCAGACCTGTACGAAACTCTCAAATAACCAAATTGAGTGGAACATAACGTTTTATCAGAGTATTGAGACAATAATTAGGAAAGAGATTTGTATGGTTCATCTTCAAGATGGCCCTTTTAATAGTTTTTTCTTATTTTCTACAAATCCCAACACCGATTGAAACCCCAAAAAAAACAAATGAAAGATTGTTAAAGCAAAACCAGGCAGAGAGATTAGTCCAAACGATTTAGAAGACCAAGAAGATGAAATAACTAAGCTACCCACTCCTCCGGCAAGGGCTCATATGGATACTTCTCAAGGCTTGAGAGCGAGAGCAAACCCAACCTTGGCACTCTTCTCGATCGCCCTAGAGTCGACCTCTCCAGAAACTGTGATGAACGACTTTGGACGCCACTGGTGTTGGATCAGAGCGTTGGCTACACCAGAATTGTTCACTCGTGCTTTCACTGTGGTCAATGGGTCAAGAGCATACTGGGCGCCGACGGTTATGGCGTTCTTCTGGGTCGTGAAGCTGTGGGTAACCTCAGCTCCAACCACTGTGTTGCTCAACGGGTTCACGATGTGGTAATACGATGCATTCAGCTTGTCACCTTTGTCATTCCTAACACAATAAAACACAAAGATGTCAATCAACACCCAAAACAAACAGTGAGTTTCGAGTTGTATAATTGCATATAATGAAGGGGACTCACAAAGTAAGAGAAGCAATCAAATCGTCTTTGGTGAAGCTGAAGCCAGCATTGAAATGTTTGAAATCACGAGATTCAGTGTTGAAGGACACATCTGTACCTAGAGCCAAGACGTTGTTTCCAACCACACCGGAGAAATTGACAATTGGGTTAGCTGTCAAACCAACACTGGTGCAGATACCAGCATAGTCGTGCAGATACTGGAGCTCAATCTGTTGAAGACACACAGAACAATGGTTGTTGATGTTACACAGACTCATACACACCACAGCAAACTATTTATAAACCATAGACGCAAAAGAATTTGTTACCTTTCCAGATTTCTGATCAGGGACCTTGGCGCTAACGATTGCCTTCAATCCAGGGGTAGCCTCATCATAGGTGAAAGTGGTCAGAAGCTGAAAATAATCACACACACACACACACACAAATGGTCAATAGAATAAGTAGATAACAAACATGTTTGGGACGATGAATGGGTATGGGTTAAGTTAAGCTTACAGAAGAGTCAGTGGCGACTTTGATATCAGCAGTGAAGTTCTTGTTCTTGACTTGTGTAGATACATCACCCACAAACAAATCTCCCTTGTTTGTTCCAGTGGTAGTGATTGCCTAATAATCATATAACACAGAAAATATATTATAAGTTAATGAATGTTAAATGAATATAAGAAAAGCAAAGAACAAAGACTTGTCATATCTCAGAGTTTCGACTTTTAACCATAAGAGTTCAACCTCAAGAATGTTTAATCATCACAGAAAGTTCAAGGAATCTAATAAGAAAAAAACTTACAACGCCGGTGGATGAGTAAGTGGTGATGCTGAGTTTCTGGTCTCCTTGGTAATCCTTGTACAAAAGATCTGCAATCATCCACAATCAAAGAAGAAGATATCAACATTCAATACTCATTCTACAGAGACTCGACCCCTTATAGAAGCTATAACATATTCCAGATCTACAAATAAATCTCAAATACAGCTAAACAACGAGGCATTACTGATAACCGGATCTCACTGAATCGTCGGAAACGAGTCACGCATAAACGAATCAGCTCATAAACACGACGGTTAACGATTCAACTACCGATAGAAAAAAGTCAAATAGACGACGATTGATAAACCTAATCGATTCAATGAATCTCAACACAAAAGCTAGGTCAACAAGTCCGATTACGAAAACCTCAAAGAACAGTCACATTCCGAGAGAGGGAGAAGGAGCTGATACCTCTGGCTTTTTTGCCGATTTCGGTGTAGAGTCCTGGACCTTTAACCATGGTTGATTCTTTGGGAGAAGCTTGTGAGGATTACTAATGAGAGTAGAGAAGAGTGAGTGACGATGGCGTTTTGTCTGGGTAAATGTGTATATAAGGGGATGAGAAAACCCTAAAGCCCCTTCTTCTCCTTTCTCCTCCTTATCAAGCAAAAATATCTCAGCCGTTGGATCCGATTTTACTTGAGTTTTTTTTCCTCTCTTTTACAACCGTTGATTCGTTTATTCCCCACTCACCAAGGCATTTTCTTTTTTTTTCCTTACTATTTTATTGGCCTTTTCCATTTATATTGCGTGGAACGCAGGCGGCGTTTTTTTTTTACCTTCCTCCCAAAGTTTATTTATTTATTTTTTTATATCTGAGTATAATTTTAGAATTAGTATATATCAGCTTTAGAGTTAGACCATCATCTGAATATGTTACTGCATTTTTTTGTTTAGATATTATTCTACATTAGATGACGGTTTTATAGATTTACTTCATTTAGTAACATATATATGTATTGACTTGAGAAGATTATTTCACAAATTTAGATTTACTATCAGGAGATAATAATATTTGAATTTTGGTTGACATTAGCTTTATCAATCAGCATCTCAAAATGCCATGACTAAAATGTGATGTGAACTCGATGTATCTACCAAAATAAAAGCTCAGATTGATAACATGCCTGTCATTTTCATAGTTCCAGTACAAAATAATATGCCAATATACGCACAAGTCAGTTTCACTATCTTCTAAATATGATATAAATATTATAATTGATATGCGTTCCAAACAAAAAAAAATGATATATTTTATTTTCAGTTTTTTTTTGTTAATTAGTACTTCTTTAAAATACACATCTATTCATGTTTAACATAAAAAAATATAAAATAATGAAATATTGACCAAAATGAAATAAAAGATACAACAAAATTATGAAAAACTATAATTTTATTGAACATATTATGATATCAAATACTCAACACCTAGATAAAATTATGATAAAACAATCAAAGAATGTTATTTACACAAATCTAAAAAGTGCTAAGTTTCATCCATTTAAACAGGTTTTTGATATCATAAATTTTAAATGTCATCGTGTTTACTTTTTTCCATAAGAACAGTTTTTTTATGCTAAGAAAAAATTCAGGTTTTGATAGTAATATTTTGTTGTAACAAAGCTAGGATTTTCCAGCAATTTGTGAAAGTTTAAGCTACAAAATTATACTATATTATGATAAAATATTTGTTTTTGAATCATTCAAAAAAATATGATAGAAAAGTGTTCAGAAAAAGAGAAGAAATGAATTTAAATACACTTTGCCACATTTAAAAACAAAATAAAATTACCAAGAAGATGAATCTGTCGAGGCGAAGAAGAGGTAGATAGATTCTTCATCTTTGCAACGTATTTCTACATCCAATAAAAGAGAAAAAAAGAAAAAATATATAGAAAAATAAAAGTTGGTTATTTGAATGTTTTATAAGAGGTAAAGTAGTTGACACCGAGTGGGAGGGATTTACTAAAGTCATTATGGAACGTGTGTTAGTTAAAAATAGAGATCTCGTTTTACAGTTACATAAATAAAATAGAGATCTCATTGTCTCACGTTAAAGGTTAGTTATTTGCCATGTTTTGAAATTTCCTCTTATTTTTAAATTCGCTATGTGTTTTGTTTTCCATTTTTCTAGAAATTTTGTTTTAAAGATATTCCACTTGTCATGTTAGGATTGGGCGTGCGACTTGCGCTTTAGTATATAAGGGATATGCCAATGGTATTGGTAAGAAAATTAGCATTCCAAATATCACTGTGAAAAAACAAAACAAGATAATTAAATTTCGAAATGAAAATAACAATTTATTTACTCCGTACTATTTTATCAGTCGCCATCTATTTGTTTGACTTTTCATCGGGTCTCTATAGCAATTTATTTACCCCGTACTCTTTTGCAAATACAAATCGCACGATTCCTTGTGGCAATGCAACCTGCAACACAATGAGTCAGGAGAACTTTTATTATTGTCGTTAAACAAACTAATATTGCGACCCTGAAAAGAGTGCCTCGTAATCTGACGTAAAATGGAGATGCAATCATAAGAGCAGGTCCTCATATAAACCTGAGGACCATTGTTAGACCAGGTCCAACGCGATAACAAGACAGTAACATAACCCGGTAACATCGGGCTTTTTGCATTTTAAAAATAATAAAGCCCACGAGATCCACAAGGAATGATCCTTGTAGAAGGATCAGAAGGATTGGTAACACCGCGACGTGGCAGGCGATGAGTGGAGGCGTGCGTGATGAGCAGAACGCGTGGAAAAAAAAGAGACCCATTTGGTTTCTCTCAACGAAAAAAAAGCTTTCTCTCTCTCTCTCGCGATATCGAAGGCGAATCGGCGAAACCGAAGGCGATTCTCAAATCGAAGGTAAATCCTCCGATTATTTTGTTTTTAGTGTTTATGCATGTTGAAATCTGAAGGATTCCGGTTCTATCGGTGGGTTTTAATCGTGTTTTGGTTTCAAATCGAGTCGGGTACTTTTTTCAACTTAGGGTTTTCGACTGTGTTTGAAATTAGGGTTGATTCGTTCTTGACTGTGTTTCAATTTAGGGTTTTCGATGGTGTTTTGGTTTCAAATCGAGTCGGGTAGGTTTTTCAATTTAGGGTTTTCGACTGTGTTTGAAATTAGGGTTCCGGATCGCTCTTGAATGTATTTCAATTTAGGGTTCCGGATCGCTCTTGACTGTGTTTCAATTTAGGGTTTAGTCGCTCTTGAATGTGTTTCAATTTAGGGTTATCGTGTATTAGTTTGATTTGTAAATAAATTATCTGTCTAATTCGTTTAATCTGTTCTTGCAGGCTCTAAAGATGGACGACGAACATCGTGATCAAAAAGCACGTAGAGAGTACTACAATATGCTCCATGCCGTTTCCGACGCTCAACAGGGGATTCCGCAGCTGTGTCCCTGCGGATCAATAACGAAGGAAACCGTGGATGAAGATGACAACTACGACTATCTCCCTGGGAAGAGATACTTCGTCTGCAAAGACTTCGTGGTAAGAGTATCCATTTCAAACACTGAGCTTATTTATATGTTCATGTTCTGTACACTAATGTTTAAATGTTTGTGCAGAATGACGGGATGCATTTCAGGCAGCCATGGGTTAAGGCGATCCAAGAAGAAGTGGAGAGGCTCAAACAGAAGGTCTACGAGCAGGAGAAGCTTCTCAGAGAATGGGACGCAGTTAAGGTGATGTGTTCTATCTGTTAATTAGTGGTTAGGTGATCTGTTCTATCTGTTCATTAGCAATTTGTATTAAAGTCTTGTCTCTGGTATTGGTCCTTGTCTAATCTGTTTCCTTCTCTCTGTTATGTTCCTTGTCTAATCTGTTTCTTGTCTATGTTCAGGCGCAGCTGAGGATTCTGCAGCATCGTGTGGCTTCACTGGAGAAAGCTGCACTCGAGAAAGACCAATGCGGTTAGTGTTTCAAATTCTCTTCTTGTAGTTGTGATTGGTTGTTGTGATTGTCTGAACACTTTGACTATATAAATGAAACACTTAAGTAAAATTAAAAAATGAAAGAGTTAAGTAAAATTATAAATGTAAACTCAACCACAATTATAAATGTAAACTCAACAACTATTATAAATGCAAACTCAACAACAATTCTAAATGCAAACTCAACAACTATTCTAAATGCAAACTGAACAACACTTTTAGACAAAATCAGGTTGCTTTGTAGTTGGGTTTTGACACTTATAAATGCACACAAGCCATTTAACTCTATTTTAGTGTTAAGGTTCATTAACTCACTCTGTTCGTGTTAGGTTTAGATAGGACATATTCCTACTCCGCAAAGAATCAATGAACATAAAACAAATCTCCCCTATTTAATAAGCTGTTTCTAGTAGAGAAACATTGAGTCAATCCCACAAATCTTCTCAAATCTTTTTCCAAAATGTCAACTAGCTTTGTAAACCTTTTAGCGAGCCAAGGGTTCATTGACCTTGACTCATCGGAGCCTGTTTCCTTTAACAGCCAAGGCTCTGATGAGCCAAGTGCCAAGGAGAGGAGGAGATGGTCTTCGAAGGAGGATGTCATCCTCGTTGGGGCTTGGCTCAACACGAGCAAAGACCCTATTGTGAGTAACCAACAGAAGGCCCCTGCCTTCTGGAAGAGGATTGTAGAGTACTACAACTCCAATCCTCAACTTGTTGGGACCCCACCGAGAGACCTTGGTTCTTGCAAGCAACGCTGGCAAAGAATCAATGACTCTGTTTGTAAGTTTGCTGGGTGCTACGAGCTGGCGCTGAGAGACCAGAGGAGTGGCCGGAATGACAACGACGTGATGGTGTCGGCTCTGAAGATCTACGAAAATGACTCCAAAGGTGTCAAGTTTAGCATGGAACATGCTTGGAGAGAGTTGAGACACGATATGAAGTGGTGCTCGATGAACCTGGAGAAAGACAATGGCAAGGATAAAAGAAAAGCTAATACGGTGCCTGTGGATGTTGAAGTTCCACAGGCAGAGGAGAGACCCATTGGCGTTAAAGCTGCAAAGGCAGGGAAGAAGAAGAAGAAGAGTGCAAAGGATGAAGAACTGTCCAAGTTAGAAGCACTTATGGAGACCAAGAAGCTTCTTTCAAAACATAGTTTGCTAGAAATCTTGCTTGCTAAACCCGAGCCACTCACTGAGATAGAGCAGGCTCTAAAAATCAAACTCATGACTGATATGCTTTGATTATTTGTGTATGTGTATTGCTTTGACTATAGTTTGCTAGAAACTCACGATTTAAATGTTTAACACAACTTCTTGTTTCTTTTTCAGGTTAGGTACAAGGATAAGGACAAGGTGAAGTTTGCTGTTTGCTGTGTTGGAGTTTTCTGCTTGTTGGTTTGTAGTTTCACGGGTGTTTGTTTTTCACGGGTGTTTGTTTTTCACGGGTTGTAAGTTTTTCACGGGTTGTAGTATTCGGCTAGTGCCTTTATAAAGGCTGTATGTTGTGTTGCTATGTACTCATCACTCTACCTTCTTCTATAATGAAAACTTAAGTTTGTGTTCTTCTTCTTCATACGGTTTGTATTCAGAGCAACTTAATCACTTCTTCTTCTTATGTTTAATCACTTCTTCTTCTTATGGTTTCTTCTTCTTCTTATGTTTAATCACTTCTTTTTATTGTCATTAATCAATTAATATTTGTTTAATCACTTCTTCTTCTCATTAATCACTTATATAACTTGGTCATACAACACAAGTTAATAATCTTGGTTCAAATTATAAAACGAAGTACATGTATATATTATTTGTTAATAATAATCTTGAATTCGTTTATGTTTATATCTCCAGCAGCAAATATTATTAACAAATAATAATCTTTGTTCAAATTATTAATTCTTACATTTATGTTATTTATAGGCAAATATGGGAGATGAAATCGATCAGAGACTCAATGCTCTATTCGATGCGGCTTTAGAGGATTGTTTTGAGGATACATTCAACAGCATCGTGGAGAATCGAACAAGCAAACCAAACAAACGTCAATATATCGAACGCAACCGTGAAGAGGGCCACACCCGTCTCTGGAATGATTACTTCAGTGAGAATCCGACATTCCCACCTCATTTATTCAGACGCCGTTTCCGCATGAACAAAGAAGTATTTATGCGAATTGTCAATCGCCTGTCTGAGAATCTCCCCTTCTTTCAACAAAGACGCGATGCAATTGGAAGGTTGGGATTAACTGCACTACAAAAGTGTACGGCGGCTATTCGTATGCTTGCTTACGGCTGTGCGGCTGATACCGTGGATGAATATCTCCGGCTTGCTGAGAGCACAACACTTTCGTGTTTAACCAATTTCACAGAAGGCGTAGTACAGTTATTTGGTGATGAGTATCTACGAAGACCAACTCCTGAAGATCTTCAACGACTGCTCGATATTGGAGAAATACGCGGGTTTCCTGGGATGATCGGAAGCATTGACTGTATGCATTGGGAGTGGAAAAATTGCCCAACGGCTTGGAAAGGACAGTACACACGTGGAACAGGAAAGCCAACACTTGTCTTAGAGGCCGTCGCTTCACAAGACCTTTGGATTTGGCACGCTTTTTTTGGTTCTCCCGGGACCTTAAACGATATTAACGTCCTCGACCGCTCACCCGTCTTTGATGACATTATATATGGTAGAGCTCCAGCGGTACACTACGTGGTCAACGGACACCAATACGATTTGCCGTACTACCTAACGGACGGTATATATCCGAAATGGTCAACATTTATCCAGTCTATCTCACTCCCTCAAGGTGCCAAAGCTGAATTATTTGCTAAATATCAAGAAGCAACCAGGAAAGATGTCGAACGTGCTTTTGGAGTATTGCAAGCACGATTTGCGATAGTGAAAAACCCGGCTGTTTTGTGGAGCAAGGACGCAATTGGGATGATCATGCGCGCATGTATCATACTGCACAATATGATAGTGGAAAATGAACGTGATGGATACACTCAGTTTGATACTTCGGAATTTGAAGAAGGAGACTCGAGCCGAAGTTCACATGTCGATGTACCCTATTCTACCGACATGCCTTCACATTTCGGTAATATGCTTGGTATACGGAGTCATGTTCGTGATAGACGTATACATGACCAATTGAAAAATGATCTGATCGAAAATGTTTGGAATAAGTTTGGTAATGATGATGTATAATTATTGTATGTTTAAATTTTATCATTCAATAAATTAAAAAATTTTAATTACATGTTTGAAACTAATTTTATTATTTAAATTATTATTATATAATTATTGTATGTTTAAATTTTATTATTCAATAAATTAAAAAAATTTATTATTTAAATATTCATAAGGACCTCAAATTGGGTAACACCATTGGACACACATTCTAAACAAGAATCCTTAACTATTCCCAAAAAAAAAAAAAAAAAATTATTATTAAACTAATCACAAGGACTCCAATGGTGGCAACACCATTGGAGATGCTCTTATCATCGCCATCTTTGTTCCACATGCTATGAAGCTACTTTGTGATGTCATGAAAAGACCTTTTTATTAAAACATCCACAAGAAGCCAATATTATGTATGTAACCAGTCCACAAAGACCGTGAAACGAAGGTTCTTAGCAAGTTTTTTTTCTTTTTGACGACGGTCCTTTGCAAGTAAAAATCCATATAAATATGTGTTAATATCAATCATGTAAGGTAACTTGGTGAATTGGCACTTTGTGAATTGCGCAACAATCCTTATTATCCCATTTCATCATATCAATCAAATAACTTTCATCTTTGTGTTCCTAAATTTACCTTTGTTCATAAACCAATCTTTCCATATTTACACTTGTTGCAGTACTAAATAAAGCTCAATGAGCTATATCATTACACGTACTGTCATATATTTGCTTAATCTAGTATCTATTATGAGCTTGAATTGAATCTATACTTGTTTTTGGAAATTAACTCCTCCATGTTTCATATTAATTTGTGGTATTCAGGTGTGATTTTTTTTTAATATAATAAACATATACAGGTTACCTAAGCTGAACATGGCCATCCCTAAGCCTCCATCAGGATATCAAATGTATTGATTTATCGATAAGGCAATTTTCATCCCAATCTATTAGAAAAGTAAATAAGTATGACTCACATTTGTAGTTATAAACTATTTTTTAAGCAAAAATGAATAGGTGGAATATCACTAGTTTATCCCATTTAGATTAATAATGAAAGCCACCTTAACGTATGTATTAGGATTAGCGATAAACTCTCTCCAAGCCTTTAGTAGAATCTTCCCAGCTCCAGAAGATCTTGTTCTCACTATTGCTACTTCTTCTATTGGCTCTTGCTCCATATCAGCTTCTTCATTGTAACAAATCTATTCCAAAATGAATCTAAGCCTCATGAAGTTATTTTCTTATAAAAGTAACAAATCTTTGGTTATAAAAACATGTTAGCAACATGTAAGAACTCCAAAGTATATTAAATTTATTGCAAATCTAACAACTATAAAATGTTTTTATTTGAAATGAATAAAGATTCTACTATCTTTATGTGTACAAGCTTTAAATTAATATTAATTCCATAAAAGCTATACTATCTAATAGTCTCACCTATTTTTTTGCTTCAGTGGACTATGTAAAGAGGATGAAATGATACTAACCATTTCAAAGCTTCACAACCCATAAAAGCTATACTATCTAATAGTCTCACCTATTAGTTCTTCAAAATAATCTGTTAGAAGAATATTACAAATTAATAGATATTACAAATTAATAGATAGGTGTTTTCCTACACCATGTATAGAAATAAAAAATTTAAAATAAAATATTTTTATTTTTTTATCATTTGTGTACAATTTTGATCTTAAATTTTAATTTAATTATATGTAAAAATTAAGATAAAATAAAGCATTTTTATATTTATATTTAATATTATATATGTATATATTTATCCTTGGAAATATTGTTATCTATTTCTTTTAATTAAAATATATTAAATCAAAATTCTATAAAATTATGAGAAAGTTAAGGTATATAATTATCAAAACACAAAATTAATTAATATTTCTAAAATTTATAGATATTAAAATAAACTAATGATGATATGATTATTTTTTAGAAGCCTGCATAAGTTTTTGAATATTAGTTTTAGTAATATAAATTATAAAATTATAAGTTAGAACTAAATAATTACAATAATTGTAAATTATTATATTATATTATATTTTATTATTATATTATTTATTGTTATATTAATGATGATTTATTAGTTATTATCTTTTTAAAAACAACTTACCAGAAATATAAAACAACAACTAAAATAAATATACATTTCACAATTAGGTTCAAACCATGTCATCATTGTTAATATGATATATCATTTTTGTTTTTGTAAAATCAAAGTGACGATGACACATTGTAAATTATTTCTCAAATAATGTCTATGTGTTAAATTAATGACTTTCATGAACAAAGTAATATACCAAAAATAATTTAAATATATCAAAAATATATTTTCATTCAAACTTGTTCAATATCCTATTTTTATCCTTGATAAAACCTAAATAAAGAAAATAAATAGGGAGCTACCAATAGTTTTTTTTAAAAATAATTAAAACATACAAAGTGTCCACAAACAAACAATGACGGCTCTCCATCCTTAGCGGAAACTTTCTAAATTGATGATCACATTTTAACCAAGTTTATCTAAACACCAATCATTCACGTTTCTTTAAATTCGCTGTACGAATCATCATATAAAAGCTTTAGACTTCCAAGAATCCAAAAAAAAAAAATACAGAAACGACCTAAAGCCATGCTGAAAGCTTAATAATTCTCCATTTAAATTTTAAACCCTTATATAACAAGGGAAAACAAGATTTATATTTAATATACAAGATGAAGATGGCTGGGCTGTTAAGGTTGATGTTTATGTTTTCTATCGCCGGTCTGATCCCGACCATCCACACCATACGAGCCAGCATGTCTGAGTTAGACGAATATTGGTCAAAACGAGCTGATGAAGCCCGAGAATTCACTCTTCAAGCTTATCATTCTAATCCCTACGAAGTCGTCGACCACTTTCACGAACGTCATTACGAGTAAGTCAAGTTCATATCTATAATCTTGATTCTTGAACCATATAACATATCTAATTTGTATTCTTGTTTTGGTTTGGTGTATAGCAACTCTACTGATGTAACGGATACCGAGGAAGATAGCGACGACGAGAACCCTGAAGAGGTGGACGATGATGTCATCAAAATGCTCGGAAACGAGACGAGCAGTACGAGACGAAGCTTAAGAGTTAAAGGTAAAGGCAAAGGCAAAGGCAAAGGTAAAGGCAAAGGCAAAGGCAAAGGCAAACGAAAGGGAAAATGGAGTAAGCTTCAGGGACCGTGTACGGCAAGTAACCCAATAGATAAATGTTGGCGTTGCCGTTCGAATTGGGCTAAGCGACGTAAGAATCTTGTCAAATGTGTCCGCGGGTTCGGACACAGCACAATAGGTGGAAAGCATGGACGCATCTACGTGGTTACAAGCAACCTCGACGACGACATGGTGAACCCTAGACCAGGGACATTACGTCACGCCGTGATTCAGAAGGAACCTCTTTGGATCATTTTCAAGAACGACATGCACATTCGTTTAAGCCAAGAGCTTATGATTTGTAGCTTCAAGACGATTGATGCGCGAGGAGCTAATGTCCATATCGCACATGGCGCAGGGATCACGATGCAGTTTGTGAGACATGTTATTATCCATGGATTGCATATTCACCACATTTGCCAGAGTAACGGTGGTATGATACGAGACTCAGAAGGCCATTTTGGAATGAGGACTAGAGCTGATGGTGATGGTATATCTATATATGGTTCGTCTAGTATATGGCTTGACCATATTTCCATGTCAAAATGTCAAGATGGACTCATTGATGCCATTGTTGGATCTACTGCCATTACAATCTCCAACTCTCACTTCACTCACCACAACGACGTGAGCATTCATATCTATATAACCTAGCTATTAAAAGCATGATTAACTCAGAGTTCTTAACGGAAATTAAAAGATTGTTTCTTAATTTCCGCTAAAATCTCCACCCTAAAAATTTGGGTTAATCATGTTCTAAGTTAGATGAACTTTAAATTTTAAACTAATTTGTCATAAGTGAATTGGTCCATATACATTATTTGATATCTCTTATAATTTTTGATATGAAACATTTGTCTCTAATATTAGTATGATATCTAGTAGAAGACAACCATATATCAAATGATTTATATACTAAGTTTTTTTCTGGGGGGATGTCTGTTTGTGTAGGTGATGTTGCTTGGTGCGCAAAACGACAATGAAGGGGACAAGAAGATGCAAGTCACAGTGGCTTATAACCATTTTGGTAAAGGACTTGTGCAGAGGATGCCAAGGATCAGGTGGGGTTTTGTTCATGTTGTGAACAATGACTACACTCATTGGGAGCTTTACGCTATTGGAGGTAGTCAAGGTCCGACAATACTCAGCCATGGAAACCGATTCATAGCCCCTCCACACAAACCTCATTACCGAGAGGTAACTTAAAAAAAATAAAAATAAATAAATAACGGTAACACTGGAACTTATGAAAAAAATCATTACATGTAGGTTACTAAGAGAGATTATGCTTCGGAAAATGAGTGGAAACACTGGAATTGGAGATCAGAGAAAGATATGTTCATGAACGGAGCTTATTTTAGACAATCTGGGAATCCTCATTTTAAATGTGATCACACGAGAAAACAAATGATTAAACCGAAACATGGAATAGCTGTTTCTATGCTGACCAAATACGCTGGAGCACTTGATTGTAGAGTTGGAAAACGTTGTTAGGATATTCATTTTTTTTTAACTAAAATGCCTTTATTAAAGACCTTTTTTTTTTGCTACTAACTAGTTCAGGAATTAAAGAATTAAGAGGGTGAAAACGAAAAACGTTATAATTTGTAAAATATTTTTGTGTTATGAAAAACGATGTAAAGTGGCTAATATAGATGTTTCTTGTGTTAGCTCATCTTTTTGTACTTTAACACATTCTTTTTGGGCGAAATTGGTTTAAATATTTCTTCTATGATTTTTTGGCGAAAATGTGATAAATATTTATAAAACTAAAATATACTCAAATATTCAGAACGATTACAACTATTAAAATATAATTTACTTTCAGAATTTTATAGATTCATTGCAAAGATGATGTTCTCTCTAGAAATATAAAGTGAATCTAAAAATCTCTCTCTAAAAATGTGTTTAGGTTCTCAAGATTCAACATTTTCTAAGAAATATATAGTTTTTTATCTATAGAAAGATAAAGTATAGTGTTTCCTAATAGCCTCATTGTCTGATGGACTTTGTTCATTGTTTAATTGACCTTGTTGAGGGATGCTAAAACCCTCTCCAACAGTTGGGTCCAACGAAAGCAATAGATCGTCTGTCCACGGCCTTTTCTATTAACAAGAGCATTCAACAAACTGTCGAGACGAATAATAACAAAGATGTGGAGGCTATTTTAGCAGCTTATTGATGTCTAACATAACAGGATATAATCAAAGGTGTGCATCTTTAGACCAACCATTGTCGCAACTTCCTCCATTATCTATCTTTAAGCATCATTCTTCGACAGACAGCTAGTTTTATTAACAAGGACGATAAAATCTAGTACTGTATCAGAACGACCTCATTTAATTTTTGTGGTTATCTTATTTCATTAGGTGTTACATTATTTGTATCAGAAGATGTTAATTAAATCTACAATTGATGTTACATGTGTCATTAGGCGGTGCATATCTTCCAACTTTTGATTAAAAGATTGTTGGATGGATCGATACGTCAACCCAACCGTAGTGAGCTTAAAATGGGCCTTGATGAGAATTATTTGACTATGTAAGGAAAAAATATGTGATGCAACGTAAAAGTGGTGTGTTTGCTTAACTTTTAAAGTTTGGTGACTCATGTGAGTTTATTTGTGATTGAAAACGAAAAAATTGAAAACACGATCCAGTTTTATCTCCTAACATCTCTACGAATCACAAATTCGTCAGAGTTTCCTATTTTTGTCCTGTTTTCTCAAATACATTCAACCTATAAATACTCACCAGATATTCCATCTTCACTCATTACTTTTAATTCCTTTTTGTTTCTTCTTCAGCATGGCGAGAGTTTCTGTTTTGATATGTTTGGTCCTATTGGTTACATTAGGAGTCGTGGTAAGTTTCTCATTTGCACACGATACGGAAGCGACACTGAACCATAAGGAGAGCAGCAGTGCCAGTAATAAGACAGAAAGTCAGCTTGAACATAAGAGTCAACATAAAGTGAAAGGAGGAGAACAGGTCACTGCTGATCACAATACCGGTTCTGCTGATCACACTACCGGTTCTGCTGATCACAATACCGGTTCTGCTGATCACAGTACCGGTTCTGCTGATCACAATACCGGTTCTGCTGTTGATAGTCAAATGGAGGAAAAGAAAGAGCATGGTGCGCATAAAAAGAGTGACCATCAACATACAAAGAAAGAGCATGAACTGCACAAAAAGGGTGAAGATACTGATGATGAAAAGGAGCATAAGGATAAAAAGAAGGGTGAAGATACTGATGATGATACCGATGATGATACTGATGATGATACCGATGATGACACCGATGATGATACCGACGATGATGATGATGATAAAGATAAAAAGAAAGTCCATGGTGATAAAAAGGGAAACAAAAACACAGTCAAATCTCTATAAATTAATAATATTGACACAATAATAATTTATTCATTTGAAGAGAATTTTCCTTTTAGATTTATAATATTACATATGTTATTTAGAAAATAAATTAATATTCTATTTGTGAAATAGTATATATTTGCTAAACTTTATAGAATTAATTTTATACAATTATATTAGATTATTTGATATATTTCATATATCTTGAATACTTATCATAGAATTCAACTCTATCTGTTTTTTGCTTTATGTTTTTTCATCAAAGAGGATAGTCAATTCCATTTTTGTATTGTATTTGAAAAGTTTAAGTTAGTGAATGTAAGTGGTGTTCCAAAAAAAATAAAAATAGGAATACAAATTATTGTGAAGAAAAATAAATACAAAGAGCTTTGTGTATGTTTGCATAAAAATCTATATAGATAACTATCAATTTATGATTTAATGAGATCATATATTTAACTAAAAAAATTATCTTATCGAATCATGATGTTCCAATATTTAGAATCAATTTTTTTTTTGTAACATATTTAGAATCAAATAAATCTATTAATTTATCATGTTTACTAATTTATTGAGTATCAGTATTTAGAGTTTCTATTGTATGGGATTATATGAGTTCACAAAATAAATTTAACGGTCAAAATTCACAAATTGGGTATCAGTATTTAGAGTTTCTATTGTCTGTCCATTTCCCAGTCAAAAATGGTAAGTGATCCCAAACAATTTAAATATTAACATAAAAAGAAAACATACTACACTTCTGACTAAAGTTTCTCATAATAATTTGAAAAAATACAAAGTCTAGGTTCAAGTTATACCCCGTCGACAGTGCACTCATTCCCACTGGAAAAATATCTCCGGTAAAAAACATTTTTGAAATGGATTTGAGATTGAGAGTTTCGATGGAACATAAATAATATATAAGTGATTTGACCCATTTTATTTATTGTCATCTTCTATATTAAAAGAGAAGTACTATTTATATCTACTACAAAAAGTCATAC